AATGAGGTTACTCGGTTTTTAAAGATCCAATTACACCAAGTAATATAAACTTCGGGGCCAGTGAGATAGCTCAGTAGGAAGAAACTGTTGCTGTTGATTTAAGGAAGGGTCTAATAATGTTTATTATTAGCCCTATAATTATTTCAGCGGTATCATCCAACCCACTATTACAATCAATAAAGGACACAGATAGCTGATAGATTTTCGATTTGCCTTATTTCACCTTGGTCTGGGAAGATAATTCCATTCTACGCAATCTCATATCTCCTGGCCCCATCCCATTCCGTCTGCTTTAATCATTCCTATCTGGACTACCTCCCATCCATAATCCCAGATGCTTGCTAATGCTCTTCCCCTGGGCCAGTTCCTCCATCCATGCCGGCCATTCTTCTTCCTGTCTCCTTCCCAAGATCCTCTTGTCCTCAAAGCTCTCGAACCTTAGCCATGCCTACCCCATTCATCCTGCCCAGTTGTGTTGGCTTTTTAATCAATCAGGGATAATGGGGTACATTCCTTCTCATCACATGGTTACAAGGGGCTAGTTCAGCATCATTAACAATTTGCAGTGCAGGGCGGTAACCAGATCTCAAGGCATTGATATCAACCTTTAAATACATACCACCAGGAAAATCCTCAAACCACCAAACCTGATGACCTGAGTGCAGTGCCCCAGCTCTCCGTGGTAGAACAAGAGGACTGCCCTCCAAAAGTTGTCCTCTGACTTTTTTTCTTTTTGCCACAGCACGTGCGCCCCCAATACATAAATAAGTAAATGTAATAAAAATAAAGTAATAATATAAAATTCCAGGTACCTTACACTTCGTATTTCAAGTGTCCTAAAATAATGTCCAGTCATTGTCTTTCTTTCTCTCCTCTCCTCATTGCCATGGTTTCACTTAAAGTAAACCAGAAAGCCACAGAAATAATTATTTGGAATTTTTGTGGCCATCTCACTTTTGCTAAGGGGTAATTCCAAAATATCTATTTTGCAATCTTGACACTGTTGGTGGTACATGCTGCTCTTTTCATCTCCTTTTTTCTTTTGGTCTCTGCAGGAATGGAAGGTCTGTGTGTTGATCACATATGTGTATTTGTAACTTATCCTGGCTGTCTTACTTATGATTTCCAACCTTAGTATCTCTTGGTGGTAGCTGCTAGAGCTAAGTTCTTCCAGGGCAGTGCTTACTCTGCATGCCTAGATTCTAAGGCTAAAACAAAAGTGAGCTTTGGTTTAAAAAAATAAAACTAACTTTGAGCCAGAATGGAGTTGAGTTTTGACAGCTAACAGTAGCCATTAGTTGACTCACATGTTTCAGTAAGATGAAATGGATTAGTGAAAGAATAAAATGCTTTCTCAGTTTAATTAAGCAAACCACTGTAGTATAGTATACAGATTAAATTCAGAGCCTAGCTCTGACATTGCAGTGGCCTTCTGCCACGTGTCTGTTGCAATATGAGGTAAAGCCTTTCTCTTTAATATTATAGGTCTTGTGTTCCTGGGAGCTTCTCTGTTGCCTTGATTTGGGAAAGTCCCTTTCCTTGCTTTGTAGCATTGCTCAGTTTGTGTCATAGGTCCAGGCATGTTAACCAAAGAGGTATCTCTTTTTAATAAAAGGACGAAAGAGTTTGGGCTGGCTGGCTGAATGAGTGATTGCACTCTTTCTTTGTATTTATAGCTCATCTGTCTTCTGATGGTTCTGGGCTCCCAGCAGGCACGTGTCCATTGTTGTTAAGCAAAGCCCAGTATGTATGTTTGACAAGTTAGCAGTATGGCAACTCTGCTTGCTGCCGCCAACTCAGGGATTGTTTGGTTTGGCAAATGGCCAGCTCTCTGCTATAAGATGCATTTCCTTGACAGGACAAAGTATGGAGGCGCATTAGCTGCAAAGTTTACAAAGGTTAGCTAAACACACACAATAAATATTAATAAACAAAAAAAGGCCCACCCACCTCTGACTTTGAATTCTGTTTCTTCATTCTGTGTTTTGGAATCCCTGTAGTATTTGATTAATAACCAGTCTTAAGGTAATTGAGCCTCAAGTGTCCTTTGCCTAAGTTAGTCTGCTCACAGGCCCCTCATTGGCTGCTCTGATGACTCATTGCCACAGTGGAGTGATCTCTGGACTGACTGTTTAGCTCAAGGGCTCTTGCTTGTGTTTCCCAGTGTTTGGCATGAGAAGAGGGTAAATGTGCTTGTCCCTGGGAGCTTCAGTCATGTGCCGTGTGTCCTGGAGCCTGCAGATAAAGGATGTGAGCAGGAGGAGAGGTGAAATGCCTTTAGACTCCCTGGAAAGCAGCAGACATTGGTCTGCTGGCCTGACAGTTGCCTCTCTAACATTTACACCCTCGGTGGAGAGGAGGAGAGTGACAGTGACCCGCTGCCCCTGGAAACTGCCTGTTTGGCTGGGTGTCTTGGAATTTATCAGGCTCCATTGTGGATCCTTTCCAATTCTGCACCCTGCTCACTTGAAAACAATTTTGAGAACCAGTGACTGCTTAGCCAGACCTGTAGAGGACGAAGGAAGAGAAAGACCTGTAAATCCACGAGCTCAGCATTGTCCTGGGACTGTTCACAGGTAGCTGGGGTCTCTGGAGGCTCTTGAAAGCCCCTTAGTGCCTCCTCGTGCTCCCTGGCTCATACACACATTCTCTCCAGGACCACGGAAGTGAGCAACCAACCACGCTGGATTTATATGATGGCTGACTAAAATAATTATACACAGAAATAAAATTCCTCCTCATGGAAAGGGATGCTTTTTAACTTGAAAACTGCCTCCAACTCCACTTAACAAAGTTAACCCATTCAATTATAGGTGACTCGTAGCTTTTGGCTTATTTGCAGAGCATCAACCGCTAATCTAAGCACCTGGAATATACTGCCAAACAAAACTGATCCAGATCTCTGGACATGAATTGCAGTTGAGATGGCATAGCATAAGTAATAAACAAATCCCATTCTATATTAAAGATACGTGCTATGACAAAAGAGAAACAGGGTGCACGGAGTTTAAATAAGGCAGGCTGAGAGGTGACATCCTTTAAGCAGACCTGAGATGGTGTCAGCTCAGATGAACTTATCCTAGATAGGGTCGCACAGACATGATATCTCTGTGACTCTTCCCATGCATTCATATACCTGACCAGAAAGTTGCCGGTGGTGTAAGCAAGGTTCTCACCAAAGTCTTAATGGCAGAGCACCTGCAGAACATCAGCAGACTTAATTCCATCTCACCAACCCAGAAGAAAAGCTGACTTTAATATGTACGTATCATGAAGTAGCTTCCATGAACACATGCATAAAGCAGCAGTGACTAAGAAAGGGCTGAGGAAGGGGAAGAGAGATGGTCTGGGGTGATGGCTCAGCAGGTAAGGGGACTGCCACCAAGTCTGATGAGCTGAGTTTAATCCCTGGAACCTATCCATACAGTGGACGAGGACTCTTCCACTGTCCTGTGACCTCTGCACATGTGCTGTGGCACACACACCTCCCTCTTCCTCGAACTAACTAAATGGGCATAAAAAGAGAGAATATGAGAAAGGAAAACTGAACTGTCAAGTATAATTGATTTCAAGGGTTTCTCTTGTTACTATTGTTTTGTTTGCTTTTCAGCACTAGTGAGCAGACACTGGATAGCAGCAGCATAAATGTGAATAAGAGTGATAAAGAAATGTGAAAACCTGGCCTTCCAAGTTATCCCCAACTCCATCTCCACTCCCAGTGGAGGAAATGCAAAGCCTGACTCTGTGGAATGACTCAGCACACTTCGGTGGTGTACAGCTTAGGGACTGCCTTGGAGTATTGTTGGATGTGAATTAGAAATTTGTACAATCTTTTTAGATTCCTTTATAATTCTAGAATATCAGAAAGGGCTTTGTAGCCATTTAACTCTCATCAGTCAGATGAGAGGCAGAATTTCTACCAAAGAGATTCTCACAGTTTTCCAGGTATTTCATCTTAATGAAAGTGTGGAATGGTTAGAGACAAAGACTTAATGCACGTCGGCCACAGGAGACAGAGTTCCAGGACTTTGATTTTTATGAGGACCTCAAATGTCAGTGTCTGGTGGTACACCCTCATTCCCCTTTAGTCCACATGCATAGTGTGCAGGAAGTGGGCTGTTGATAAATGTTGAATTAATGCTTTCCCTCATCTTTGAATGAGTTTGGTAGAACTTGGTGTGTGGTATTTGTCCTTCCCGGCGTCAGCTTCGTATTTCCCCTCTTGATTCTCTTTGTGATGTCCCTCCCATCTTGTTTCTCCTACCCCAAGCAAAATTGAAAACAGGTCCTGAGAACTCAGAGCTCAGGTTCTTTGGGACCCCGAAGCACCACTTATTCCTCACCAGACATGAATTCAGAGGCCCATAGCTTCGAAGGAGCCGCCTCTTTAAATAGCTTCCCATCAGGTTAATATCAAGGCTTTGCATTTGATATCTGCTTTATTTCTGTCGTGGCTTTGCTGTTCCATCTCATAGGCAGGGAGAGACTATTAATTGTCTACCGATATGTGCTCTTTGTAAAAAAGCTTAATGAGACTTGGATCTTTGTGAACTAAAAACAATAACCACCTGGCCTCGATCAGAGTCCAGTGGGACATAGTGTGCGTGTAAAAGTATGAAACCCAGATCTACATCTGCTGTGGTGGTGTGCTTCAGAGGGAGCCAGCATTCCCAGTGCCAGCCTCACATGGAACTGGACTGCCTAACTGTGGTTCCAAGGCTGAGAGGGGTCATGTACAGAAGTACACATCTTGTACTTCCATAGGATTTCACGTGGACAGGAAGAGGTGGGTTGGAACTTCACTCACAGAATGCAATGCTATGATTTAGAGGAAAGTATCTGACACGTTACTGGTTACTCTGGTGCTAGTATTTGATTCTTAGTAAACTGACCATCAAGGCATCAGCAGGATTCCTTCCCGTGCCCTCCTTTGTAATCCTCTCCCCACCCCATTTTTATTTGGTCTCTTGAGTTGACTTCTCTATACCTGTTCTTTTTAGAGTGTCGTCCGCTGCCTGTGGCATCCAAAGCTGAACCAGATCATGGTTGGAACCGGAAATGGACTGGCAAAAGTATATTATGACCCCAACAAGAGTCAGAGGTATTTCATAGGAATAGAATGTTTGAGATGGATGACAGCAACTGGGGGGAGGGCTTGGATTCACCCCTGCTTTTATTCATTGCCCCTTTGATGGGGATCCACCCTTTTAGAAAAGGCAGCTGGTACTAAGCAAAGGCTCAGACTCCTAGCATTGTGCTTTAAATGGGATTTAGATCTCAGCCTTGATCTACACTGAATTCAAAGCGAAAGTTCTCTGGGGATTTGCAGTCCTTTGGCTGAAATGTTGAGTGCAGGGTGGGGGAGTCCTGCTTGCTCTGTGTACTCCCTGGACAGTGGCATTAGCAGTGATACATGTGAGGGCTTAACAAACAGGGAACTGGCCACTCACAAGAAACAGGAGCAGCTTTTCTGTCTTACCCTTTTCTTTGGGCTTTTAGCAATTACTAGTTTGGCAAGATTATACTGCGTCAACAGAAAGGGATAATAGCACGTGTACTTTCCCTCAGCCCCTAGCTCACCCGAGGTCAAACGTAAGCATACCAGTTTAATCCCAAGGTCTGGACACATTGTGGGAGGCTCCTCTGCTTCTGCAGGTATTTCCATTTTTTTTTTTCCACAAGGTGGACATGTATTACCATCCCAGAAAAAATGGTCTTTCTCCTCTGTTAGCATGTAAAAAATTCACCTGCTAATAAACTCCTGGCCTTCCCTATAAGCCTGTTTTGAGGTCTTGCATGCTTTCAGAGGAAGGGAAAGCTAATCTTTATGAGTGAAGTTTCACTGACCATATTTTTGCTCTAGTTAGAATTGGACAATTCATTCTTTCTTCAGAGGTTTCTGAACTGGTGAAGAAACCCTTGCCCTATAAAATAAAGTTACAAAATAATGTTTAAGAATAAGTATGAAGCTGGAGAACCGTTAAAGGGTAGGCTGGCAACCAAGAATAAGTAGGATTTTCTTTATTAATAAAGTAAAATGTTAATGAGTTAGTATGTGGGGTGTTCGTTCACTTAAAAAGATGCCAGCTTTCTATTGTGACACCCATTAGGAAGATGTTATCTTGACTTGGGATCTATAAGATTTGCTTATTTACGTTTCTTAGAGAGACAGGTCAGTATCACTATGGAGAGGTAAGACTGTCAATGGACTTTGTTTAATCAGCTTGTAGCCCTGAGCAATGCCGCTAGGCATATACCTCGGTCTGGACACTTAAAACCATGTATACCTAAAACAGGGACATATGCCATGCTGGGTCCCACTGGGGGTAGGACGCTGGTTGCTTTCATCTGGAACACAGGCTAAAGTTGGAATCCTATGATCTTTGAGGTGAAAAGGTTGATTAACTTATAAAACCTCTTTACCATTTTATGTTTTTAAATTACTTATGTGGATTTCTCGTTAGTGTCCTAAATGCTTTGACACCTCTCGCCCTTTCACTTGGTGGGGGACACTGACTGATAAACTTGAATTTCTGTAGGATCAAGTAACCCTTGTCACCAAGACCCCATCTATTGCGCTCTCTCAGAAAGTCAAGGTCTTAACAGGATGGTCTGCATATACTCAATAATGAAAATGCTGCAATGAAGCTGTATTCTTTATGGGAACCTTAAAATTAAATTTAAAAATTAATTGACCAAGACCTTTTAGTGTTTCTGAATCTGTCATGGAGTAATTTCTGCTGGGGTCTACTACATACAGAGGTAGAGGTGTGTTGTGTGTGCTTGTGTGTGTGTGTGTGTGTGTGTTATTGCTTTGAGACAGTCTCTGATGGAACCACAAGTTTTGTGTTTCAGCTCTGCCTATTCCTAAAATGTACTAAAGAAAATAATTTGTTTTAATTTATTGTAGGGGAGCAAAATTATGTGTGGTTAAAACCCAGAGGAAGGCAAAACAAGCTGAGACACTAACCCAGGACTACATCATCACCCGTAAGTTGTTGTTAGTGTTCCTCTCTGTCTCACATTGCTCTTCTCTGCAGTCTTATTTGCCGGTTGGTTTGGAAGTCAGAAGGGCTCTAGAGTTGTGGCATCTATGACATGTCCTATCATGTGGACACAGGTACAAGTCACATGACAACATCAACTTTAGCCTCTTGAATTTTTGCAGAAATGAGGTTTGCTTCATATAACTCCTCACCCAAATGGGAAACCCCTGCCTGAGCTGAACGCATTATTCTATTACGGTGTCATAAAGACTAACATACTATTCTGAATTTGTCTTGTACCATGGACTGGCAGTGTGATGTTGAACAGCGAGCTCATCAGTGAGATTAGACAAGGAGTCTATCACCATGTGCTAACAAACCAGGAGAAATGTCTCGATAAAATTAACTGTCTGGGGTGTGAGTGGAAAGCTTTTCAGGGTAGAATGGTTTCTTTCAGCTGGTTACGACAACCTTATTAATCCGACACGTCCATGTTCTGCAAACCACTGACCTATAACAGGCCGAAAAGGAAATCTTGTATGCCACAAAGTTGAGTAACAGAGAGTGGCCCTGTGGACTTTACCAGTGTCTCGGTCTAAAGTCCAGGGGGCGCGCTACTGCTGGCAGTCTTCCTGGTGATGGGTCTCCTGTAAGACCAAGTTTCATGGGGCATGTTATCAGTCAAGAGATCCCATGACACTTTTAGCAAGAGTAGAGGTGTTGAGATTGGGGTCATACATAGCCAGTCCAGCACATGTGATTACGTGTGGTCTTTTTAAATTCATCCAGTCATTTGAAGTGAAAAGTAACTTTTCCCACCTAAAAATACTGTGTGTCATGTTGCCTGACAGAGTGATGAGGGTTAATGTGCTTAACTGGCCTGATTCGAGGCAGGCATGTTTTTCTGTGAGTGATACAGACTGAGCTTAATTGGAAATAGGGGCAAAGGATATGAGGGGGTAGCTGGAGAGTGTTTGAGGTGTTAGGTGTTTCATTTAGATTATACATTCCATTTAACCTTCATCTTCTTCAGTCCTCTAAAAATGTTTTCTCCTCTAACGATGTTTTAATCTGTATATAGTAGCTGAAAGAAATTCCAGGTCAACAAGAAGATAGCTATTAAATACTCCACAATAACCCGGTCCCCCAGAATGTTACCTGGTTTCCTCTTAAATCCATATTCTTTTTATGTAAACACTTGACAACAGTTGAGTACATGTGCCTTTGATTTTTATCACCCTCTTGATTTTTGTACCAACCACATAGATGGCGGATCAGGTGCCCACGCCCAGAAATCCAGCCATCTGTCATTCAGGGCAACCTTTATCCCACTTTCAGTGGGCTACATGTTTCTCTCTTCCGGGTACTCAGAGTTTTCACTCCTCTGTTGAGAGGTGGTCACATTTCAGAAATGTGTGAAGTGATTCCAGTGTTTATGAGGCATCTAAGGAAACTTGAGGACTGACAGGCATGCTGCTGGCATTATTCATATTCGTGTCTCGTAAGAACAAATAAGAAAGTGGTTCCATTCAGTGTTTCTTTTCAAAACCACAGGAACTGAGCTTTAACCCATGGTTAGGGAGATGAGACCCACCAGTGTTTCCATGACAGTGTTTCCTGAGTGCCATTAGCTGCCAGCAGAGGTGAACAATGAGTCTGGTATCAAACAAAATTGGCTAATTGGTTACAGTAAGGCTGTCTTTTATTATTAAATGAAGCCTGTCATTATGATTTCCATTTCATGTTTCAGTTAGTCATGCATTAGCTATGTTTTTTTGGATGAAGGGTTATTATTATAATGAAATTTTTCAAATGTGACTTTTCACAGCTCATGCCTTGCCCATGTTCCGTGAGCCCCGCCAGCGAAGTACGAGGAAACAGCTGGAGAAGGACAGGCTGGACCCCTTGAAGTCACACAAACCAGAGCCTCCTGTAGCAGGCCCAGGTGACAGAAGCCGCCAGCGGTCTGGGAAGGGGATGAGGAGGCAGGGTGGTGCCACTGCTCTGGAGGTGGCAAGAACTTTGGGGCCTGAATGCTTCTTGATTTTCAGAGATGCTCCAGCAGTTTTTAGATGTTTCCCGTCCAGCACCAGAATCCCAGTGTATGGAACTGATAGAGATGCCATGCTGAAATAGAGAGGACTTTCCTTCTCAGCTTGAGTCTTGGGTGACCTCACTGGAACTCTGGGGCTCATTGGAAGCCAGTTTAAAACTGCTGCTCTCAGTGTTGGCTTACTATAGACACTGGTCCCCTAGCCTGGGATTCAAGCTGGATTAGATTTCACACAAGGCAGAAACTGACCATGGCTTAGCTCAGTGTGATCAAATGGAGTTGCCCATTTCACTAGAAGGTGAATGAAAGTCTGTAGGTAAGGGCAGAGCATTGCACTGTCTGTAGTATGGCAGGCACTTGCACTAGAATTCCATTCTCTATTATTGCTTGTGGTTTTTATTTGTCCTGGGTGCCTGAGCCTGCAGCCTTTAACTTGTCCATTTATCTGAGCCTCAGCTCTCCGATTCGCCTTTTCAGCATTGAAAATGTCCATATTTCTATTTTGACTATTTTTAGGCCTTCCCTACTGCCAATCAAAGTTTTAAAATACTAATAATCTAAATCATTTCAAATCTGTCTAGTTAGACAATATGTTTCATCTCTCCCTACCTTCTCTCTCCCTCCCTTCATCTTGCACACAGCTCTTATCTATCATTCCTCTGGCTTTCATGTTGCTGCTGCCCCCAAACTTCACCTTTTTCTCCTGTCCTGTATACTTTTATATGTCAAGATTCTCTGCAGTCTGATTGACTCAGCTTTGTTGTCTTGATTGACTCAGCTTTGTTGTCTTACACTTCATGCCTCTCCTACTCTGATCCCAAATGCACAGTTGAACGAACTTCCCTTGGTCTGTGATTTTGAACATAACTTATGCTCATTGAAAATAGTACTCTTGAATCTGTGGGCATCCCCAAATGGTCCATTGCTTTCAAAAGACCTTCTCGGTCACTTCAGCCTGAGGCCGTCTCCTTCCTCTAAAAGCTGTAATAGTTATCTGCCACACAAAGGCTCTGGCAGTTGGTCTTTTTATTTTAGTTTTAATTTATGAAGTTAATCTAGTATTATTTGGTTTTTCATGTGTTTATCTTTCTAAAAATCAGTTCTGAAAAGAGCTTTCTGAAATGTCAGCCCATTTTAGTTATCAGGCACTGTGCTGTTTGTGAGAGACCCAGCAGGGTGCAAATCTTTGCCCCTGAGCCTGTTGTCTTCCAAGGCAATTGTAGCAGAAAGGTAAGGAGAGTCAGTGTATTCACGTGTCTTGCTTTCCCTTGAGACATGGAGCACTGTGCCTATGATATAGCATACATGGAATCTGTAAAGCCCTAAAATGCATTTGTTTATAGCTAAAATGGCAGCTAATGAATAGTGGTTACTTTTGGTACTGAATATCAATAAGTCCATGCTAGAGGAATTTTTAATATAATCCTTAAAAAACATCTCCCCCACCCTTTTTTAAAAATCAGGTGTCATTTTGTAAAATTAAGCAACCCAAACATTTCTTTTAAAAATGTCTCCTCCTAGTTTTAAATGTTAAAGGATGTTAAAGGCTGCTGCTGGTTCCTAAGTTTTTGATCCATGAAAGCTGACAGGACAATCCAAGTAATACTGAGATCTGAGCTCAGTATGCAGCATGCACACCCGTAAAGATGTGCCAGTGTCCATTCTGTTTCTAGTGTGGGGTTTTTCTTTTGAAACAGGTCGTGGTGGCCGAGTTGGAACCCACGGGGGGACCCTGTCATCCTACATTGTGAAAAACATTGCTTTGGACAAGACAGATGACAGTAATCCCCGGGAAGCCATTTTGCGTCATGCCAAAGCAGCAGAAGATAACCCATATTGGGTTTCACCAGCGTATTCCAAGTAAGGAAGTAGCTGTTTAAAACAGAAAAGTGAGGCCTCATGAGATGGCTTAGTGGTGAAGGCACTGGTCTATAGGCCTGGTGACCTCAGTTCAATAACCTGGAACCCAGAGAAAGGTGCAAAGAGAACTGACAAGAGTTTTCTTCTGAATTCCACATACATGCTATAGCATGTGCATATCCACGCATGCACGCACACATGCACACATTCTCTCATGATGATAGTAATAATAGCTTTTTAAAAATAAAATAAAATAGAAAAGTGGGACTGATAGTATCGCTCAGTGATAGAATGTATGCTTAGAGAGCAAAGCCGTAGAGTTAAGCCAAAAAAGTAAATAAAAAACAAAAATAGAGAATTTAGAATATAACAATAGTATTTGGAGATTTTAACTTTCTCTTTTCTATTTTATATAAGGGCACAAAGAATGGGCCAAGAATTGTAGGTGTGATAGCAATGCTTGTAATCCCAGCATCTAAGAGGTGATAGCATAAGGGGTGAGTTGGAGGCCAGCCTGAGCTATAGCTGAAGATATGGAGTAAGTTCAAGGCTAGCCTGAGCTATAAGAGACCCTGCCTCAAAGCAACAACAATGAAGTCAGGAATTCAGAATCTTGAAACCTAGACGTTTATCTAGAAGACTCTAGATTTAACGGTGAATTTTAAAAACTGTAACAATTTGTTATCAGAGTTAAAGCCTGGAATAAAGCCTATGTGTTCCTCTTACCTAACACTTTAAAAAGTGATTCTATTATCTCAGTGGAGGCGAGTGAAAAGCTAGCAAAGGGGAATGACCTGCCTGTATCATAGGAAGGATAGGCAGGCAGGGTGTTGTGTTTTGGTTTTTACTGTTTGCTTTTCCAGGGAGGTTCATTGTGTAGCTCTGGCTGGCTAGGATCTCGCTGGGTAACCAGGCTGCCTTCAGATTTGCAGCAGTCTTCCTGCTCCTGCCCTAGGCTAGTTCTCAGGAAGGGAGCTATGGCTATAACCCTCCCTGTGCAGTGAATCTGGTCTCTTAAAGTCCTTCAAACAGCTTTACATGGATGAGTGTGAAATAGTTTTCAATGCTACCGTACCACCCACATTAACACCAAGGCGAGTACGATTGTTGAGTGACTTTTGAAAATCTTACTAGAACTAGTTTTAGACTTAGGCAGATGCTAACACCTTATATGACCATCATATAATTGATTAGTGGCCACCACTGCCAACTATTAAACTTGACAATGTCTTTATTTATAAGTAGGAGTTCTTTTCAAATATCCCTGTCAGCATCAGAGCCTTATTTGAACTGCATTTACTGCATTTGACCTTCTGGAAATACCTTTCATTTAGTTTTCTGTCTATCTGTGTTAAAGAATCATTAGACAGGCGAAATGTGAATGGTGGCTCCTATTTTGTTAATAAATCTTGTTTATAAACTATAGGACTGTATTACTCTTGAGATCATTTCCATTTATTCTACTTCTGATATTCCTTATAAAAACCCTATTTTATTTTCTGTCAGAAGATAATGGATTTAAAATTTTGACATCCCAAAGTTTAAATAATTGTTACAATGTAACTTAAAGACACACCAAGAGAGACAGAGGGAGACACATACAGAGAGAGTCAGACAGGGGGAAAGAGATTTGGTTATTACCATCACAGGGTTAACACTGGTGCAGTGCTGTAGACTAAGCTACCCACCTTCCTTGGTCTTGACCAGAGTGTCCTCTCGTGGTTTTTCTTCATTCCAGAAGCCTATGCTGTGTTCCGTTTCCTAACAGTTTAGTCATTGTAGTTTCTCAGTATTTCTTGCTTTTTGTGATCTTGGTGTCTTTAATGAATAGTGGTCAGTGATCCTGTCAGCTTTTAATCTGGGCTTGTATGATATTTTCTCATGGTTGTATTGAAATTGGACATATTTGATAGAGAGAGAGAAAGAAGAGTAATGTTTAAAGCCTTCTGTGTCCTGTTGGGAGCTTCACAATACTAACGTCTTACTAGTAATGACGTGACTTTAGTCACTTGATTAACATTTCTCCGCTATGAAATTGTTATCTCCGTGTTTCTGATGAGCACATTTCTTGGGGTTCTGTGTTCAAATCCTAGTCTTCCTCATACTCTCCTCAGGTGGCAACCATTACTATGGGTGGTTTTCTCACGGGGCTTTTTCTTTTTCTTTCTTGTCCCCTGCATTTTCTGTTGAATTCTCCTAAAGAAAGTTTTTCCTTCTCTAATGTTTTGGTCTTCAGAGTTTTTATTCATTATTAGTGGGAACTCTAAAATCCCGGTTTTATCCTGTGGGTTAGCTTCGAGGCTGTTGTCATGTTGCTTGCTGCTCACACTGCCCCGGCTTTGGCAGTAGAAGGCCCTTCAGCGGAAGCAGCCCCTGCCTTCTTTCCACTGTGCAGCCTTCCCCCATGCCCTCTTGAGTGCTTCTCCACTTTCTGATCCCATCTGTAAGTTAATTATCACTGAGAATGAGATGCCTTTCTGCATTGGGCCTGTGTTGACTCTTCTTTTTGTAATGAAGGAGTTAGCTGTCTGTTACAGCTGTAAGAAGAAAGAGCCACTGATTAGCTGAGGAGAGGAGAAAGCAGAGATACAGTTTACAGTATGCTGAACATAATCAATGTCATCTTAATAGCCAAATGTTCCAAATGTGTACACAAAAGTAAATCACTGAAATGTTTCCAAAGGGTTGACACCATACAGATTTACTATAGATATTTGTAATATTACTAATATTAGTGTAATCTAGAGGAAGATGTCAAAGATCTAACTTACCACTGAGGAAAATGAAGTTCTAAGAAGTCTACTTTTGGAACCTGCTGGAAAGCAGCTCATTTCTGTAACCTAGAACAGGAACTTGGCCCTCAAATCACCTGTTACAGTTCTAGTATCTGAAACATTTTGCTAAGGGGCCAACTTCAATTCAATATGTAGTTTTTATGTTTGAGGTTTTTTTAAATTTTAAGTTTTTTATTAATTATACTTTATTTACTTTGTATCCTCCCTGTAGTTCCCTCCCCCCTCCCCTCCCAATCCCTCCCTTCCTCCACCCTCTGCATGCATACCCCTCCCCAAGTCCACTGATAGGGGAGGTCTTCTTTTCCTTCCTTCTCATCCTAGTCTGTTAGGTCTCATCAAAAGTGGCTGCATTGTCATCTTCTGTGGCCTGGTAAGGCTGTTCCCCCCCTCAGGGGGAGGTAATTAAAGAGCAGGCCAATCAGTTCATGTCAGAGACAGTCCCTCTTCCCATTACTATGGAACTCACATGGATACTGAACTGCCATGGGCTACATCTGTGCAGGGGTTCTGGGTTATCTCCATGCATGATACTTGGTTGGACTTTCAGTCTCAGGGAAGACCCCTGTACTCAGATTTTTTGGTTCTGTTGCTCTCCTTGTGGAGTTCCTGTCCTCTCCAGATCTTCTTACTGTTTCCCACTTCTTTCCTAAGATTTCCCGCAGTCTCCTCAAAGGTTGGCCATAAATCTCAGCATCTGCTTTGATAGTCTACAGGGCAGAGCCTTTCAGAGGCCCTCTGTGGCAGGCTCCTAACTTGTTCCCTGTTTGCGTTTTTAATCAGCACACTCATATGCGAATGTGTGGGGGAAGCCCACAGGTACTAAATGGGAGACAGATCCCAGGTCCTTATTCCCCATGCAGAGATGCTGTTGCTATGACGTTTATCCTCCTACAAAGTGCTCATGGATAAATTATGAGCTCACACACACTAATTACATTTTTAAAATGCTAAGTGCTCACTCTTCATTCCACACAATTGTGTATAGGTGACTGCACTGTTTCAAAGCCCAGGGACAGGCCTAGGAGATGGATCAGTAGCTAAAGCACTAGCTGACAACCCAGGTTCGGTCCATGGGACTCATGGTGGAAGGAGAGGACTGACTCCCAAATGTTGTCATTTGATACCTACATGTGTGTTATGACAGCCATTCAGGAATTCACCCAAACACATAAACATACATACACAATAAATAAATGCAAAAAATTAAAGCAGGTGCATAGCATATTTTACACATTGTTTTCTATTTAGAACATATCTAGAATTTGTGCTATCCATTGTATATCTAGCCACTTCTTGCTTAATTTCTATATATTACATAATTATATTTATTTTCCTAAAACAATACCCTCTTAAATGATAGTTACATTGTTTTCACTCTTTAGCTCTCATAAACAATACCGAAGTTAGTACCTTTAACAGGAAAAATTATAGTAAACTGTGCAAATTTTCCCTTTATGTGCATGAAGAAAGCCAACCAGCAGTTTCATATTATTTAATCGCATTTTCTTTCCCTCTTGCATATGAAATACATATGCAAGTGTTTAAGCAAGAGTCCATCACACTCTCTTCTATTTCTTAATAAGATTTATGGACAACCTCCTATGTCTGAGATAGTGTCCTAGAATGTGAGATTATAGCCATCATTACAGACCTGCGTGGCAATATATGGTGACAAATATTACAGGACACTGTAAATGTTAGATGGTAGTGCTACAAAGGAAACTCAGTAAGGAAAGGGGACATAGAGTAGTCAGGATGGGGCCAAGTGCTATTTTTGTGAAATTTTTCTTTTTTTCTTTTATGCATATGAATATTTTGCCTGTGTGATGTCTGTGGCATCATGTGATTACATTGCCCACATAGGCCAGAAGAGGGCTCCAGATCCCCTAGAACTGTAGTTGTGGTAGGTAGCTGCCATGGGGGTGCTAGGAATCAAACCCAGGTCCTCTGAAGAGCAGCAAATGCTCTTACCTGCTGAGCCTTCTCTCCAGACCCTATTTTAGCAGAGGACTTACAAAATGACCTGACATGGAGGAGTGGAGCCTGCAGACACCCTAGGAATGAGCATCCCACACAGAGAAAGCAGCCTGCAGAAGCAGTTATGTCTGTATACTGAATCATGTCAATTCCTTTAGCCACTTCTAAATTATTTTAAAAATTATTTTATCATTATCACCACCACCACCACCACCACCACCACCACCA